GGGATACTATTTACATTGAAGTTAAAATGGAATACTCTTTTCGAAATAAATAAAATACGTAGCAATCATCTTTTACATTCCAATATAAATATATATAGAAAGTAGGAAAATTTCACCTTTTCCATACATTATCCCCTAACCACTCCCCCATAAAATAAAAATTTAAAAAATGATTTATTGATCACAAAGTATAATTTTTCATGAATTTTGCACAAACATTTAGTATGGTTCACTTTTCTGGCTTTTTAATTGATTTTGATGACATCATTAATGAATATGCCCTTTTTACATGGAGGCAAATTTACTAAAGATGTCAACAAAATTAAGGGTGCCAACCACTACATGTTCAAATGAAACTATAGCCAGACTAGAGAAACGTTCTAGACCCATAGTTACAATCATGCAGTTTTTTGTAAGCCTTTACTGAATATATATATATATATGTATATATATATATATATATATATATATATATATATATATATATATATATATATATATATATATATATATATATATATATATATATATATATATATATATATATATATATATATATATATATATATATATATATATATATATATATATATATATATTGAGTCAAATTGGATATACAGCTTCAAACCGCCGATTAAATTGTGTATTAAAGTGCAATATTCTTTTTTTTGTACTTCCTCTTGATTGGAAAGCCAACTTCAATTATATTTTGGTTGGCTGTTTCTGCGACATATTTAATGGTGTTGTTCACCCTAACAACTCTCAAATTCTGAATGGAAGACTTAAATTTTTTAATTTTTTTTTGCTGCAATATCAATTGAAATGCTTTTATACTAAAGCAGTTTGCATTTGGTTCCAGGTCAATTTAAAAAAGACTTTGACACCAGAAATCCAACAATCACAAAAAAATTGAATCAACTTGAATGATAAGGTCTTTTGCGCTGCAAACTGTGGCACCATTTGTCATTGGATTGTAGATAATGTAATTGATTCTTTTTTGGCAGATCACCTTGTGTTACTGTTTCACTCTAATAAGAAAGTTAATATTTTCATAAGTTTTTCCTATCTTGATGTAGACTTTTAAAAAAATAAAGATGGTTTGAATTTTTCCATGGTCTTTCCTTCTTCAAGGTCTTTTTGGAGAGTTTTTTAATCAGAAAAGGATCTTTGGTGTTTATTGCTATTTTCATGTTCAGGAATTCTTGGCCTTTTTCCCCTTACAAAATCCTATTAAAGTTTTTGAGAAATTGTTGGTTTAAGTTGTTGAAAATAACAAACAGCAAAAACAAAACATTGAATCTTTTTTATTGCTGTACAGCAATCAATAGACAAATGTAATCACCATTAGAATGGATTTTTACTACGTTACATACAATTTTGTGCTAAAGAGTTACATTCTGTTATCAAAATCACACAGTGTGTTTTGGAAAAAGTCTCTTGCTCTGGTCCATGCTGAATCAAAAGTCAACTTTTTTTTCCGTTACTTTTGGCCATGTTGCTGGATCCCTATGTTGAAAGTTTTCTTCTGAGGTCCGTAGAAAATTTGATATTTCTTTATGAAGTTCATTTTCATCCATTTCAGCTCGATCAGAAAGCTGGGAATTTCCATCTTCCTAGTTGTTTCTGAATCATTTGTGCAAAATTCTTCTTGACTTTGGCTAAATTAAAATCTCCTCTTTAATTAATTCTAAATGATAATCTGAACTTAAGCCGTTTAATAAATGATAATTTGAGCTATTTGAAAAACTTTATCTGATGAATTGTCATTAACTTCAACGTAAATATTATCTGAAATAATTTGTTTTTCCACAGCAAAATTTGTTACCAACCACTTCTTATAACAATTTTGTAGTTTCTCATCACTTTCTAGGCGCTGTTTTCTATTCTTCTTAAATTGAGCACCAGATAATTTTTTGGTGCGATTTATTATTGAATTTTGATGTTCATAAGTTATCAACTATGCTTTAATTTAGGAAACCAATGCACAGCGTGCCCAGGACATGAAAAAATTCCTTTTTTAACTACATTCTGGGCACACTGTGCAATGATGCTTTTTTTCTAATTTAAAAAATGATGCTTATGCAGTGTGTTTTTTCAACGATTTTTTCTTTTCAACGATTTCGTAATAATATTTTAACGTCATTGCCTGAAAATGAGACTGTCTGTATAGTCTGGAAGTTGAACAAATGTTTATAAAATTAGTATTGAATGTTCTCAATTAAAATAAGATAACTTTACAAAAGTATATCAGCTATATTAGTGCTAAAGGCGTTCTTCTGTTCAGTAAATTAGCTTTTATAAGTTAAAGTTTAGGTAAAGAGGCGAAATTTTAATTAATTTTTTTCAACATCAAAAAGACGCTATAAAAATTTGTTTTCAAGGGATAATTAATTTTTAAATTTATTTTATGGATAGTTTTGGGCCTCCTAACATTTAAAAAATGGTAATATTCCTCCTAAGTTTATATATATATATATATATATATATATATATATATATATTATATATATATATATATATATATATATATATATATATATATATATATATATATATATATATATATATATATATATATATATATATATATATATATATATATATATATATATATATATATATATATATATATATATATATATATATATATATATATGTATATATATGTATATATTATATATATATATATATATATATATATATATATATATATATATATATATATATATATATATAAATATATATATATATATATATAAATATATATATATATATATATATATATATATATATATATATATATATATATATATATATATATATATAAATATATATATATATATAAGCTTTTGTGATTCGATATACGATTCGAGAATTTTTAAAAATCGAATCCTTACTTATTTTGTTTTTGTTGTGGGTATTTTAGATATTCTGCGCTTTGGTACTATTAAAATAACGTTACTTATCCTTCAATACTTTTTTAATCAGTCATTAAAAAAGTTAACCAGGGCAAGAAGCATCAATATAGAGATTATACAATTGCTTTATTTTATTTTATTTTGAAATATATATTATTAAATTAAAAAATGCTCAAATTTAGACTTCAAAATGTTGATTCGAAACGTGATTTAAATCGCGAATCAAAACCTGCTTTGTGATAAACTAATGTATTTGTTGCGCATATATAATATTAGTGGTATTTTATTAATAAAAAGAATATTGAATAGAAAAATTAACATCAGATTATTTTAAAAAGTTACATTTTTAGATTTCTTCCAATTTTCAAATGACATAAACATGAAATATCCGGTATATAAAAAATCGGATAACTTTATTATCCGGCCAGATATAGGATACCGAATACTCTCCTATCCAGCCTGGATATTTGGCCGGATAACTTATCCGGGACACCCCTAATTATTACCCATACTATTAATTCCAAACAGTTTCTACACACCATTACAACTCACAAATATTTTATCAATGACATTTTTTTTACTTATACATGGGCTCTACTGGCTAAAACATTCATGAACGACCTGTATTTAATGTGATATCAATGATCGAAGGATATTACAGTATATACAAGGAACCTTGATATATGACTAAAAATTACATTAAAATAATTTTGGCCAATAACTAATACGATTTATAAAAAAATGGCTACAACGTTTAGTCAAAAAAATATACATCCACTTTTTTTTTTTTTTAATATGCCCCAAAAAGTCCTTAAAATATCAGAACACCACGGAAGAGCATTTAATAGAAAGTTCACGTCTTCGTCCCAACTGATGTCGCTAAACTTGCCAGAGGTGGGGTTTGAACTACGGGTCTTACTTTTCTGAGGAAAATGCGCAACCACTGCGCCACGGCTTCTTTTAAAACCATTAAACCAAAAGTTCTTTTAAAACCATTAAACCAAAAGCCATTTTAAAACCATTAAACCAAAAGTAGAATCTACTATAACTCAGGAACTACAAATATTCAAATTTTTTTTTGAAAACTTATTATTGCTAACAGCACATTATTTAAAAATAAGAATGATTTAAGGACATCACTTTTGAGTATTTCGTTGTTTTTTCAGAAAATGGCTCTTAAGTTCTCTTGAGCAAATATGTGTACAATAATAATAATATTTTGATAGTAAATAAAGAGGTAATAGTTTAACAGATAAATCATATAACTCGTTGAACGTTTCTTTATTTAATTTTTCATAACAGCAACTTTAAAACCTCTACTGCTCATTCTCATATGTGCAGGCACTGTGACATATTTTATGTGGGTCAAAATACAGGTTAATGTTTACGTCTTGACAAAAAAACACAAATAAGCAGCAGCAACATTAAGTACCGTGTTATATAAAAATATAAGTTTAGTGGAGGTTTGGATCAATTACAGAAAAAAAGAGCGGTATTAAGGGGTTGAAATATAAAAATTTTTACTATTTCAGTTTTGAAAATATAAAACTTCAAAAGAGGTTTAGATCATTGCTTTTATTATACTGGTGAATATTTTAATTTTTTATGAAAGTGAAAGTAGATGTTTTAAAGTTGCTGACATGGAAAATTAAACAAAAAAATGTTTAACGAGCTTGATCAATAGTTATAAAAACCTTATACATTAATACATTCATTTATACATCTTGATATTTTTACTAAGAAAGCTAAACCACAGGCAACCTCTTTCGGCTACTTTACTGAGCGTCAGTCAATTGCCGAATGGATAAGCGGGATACCAACACGTATCATGGTGGACCAAATAAAATGAGAGGTTGCGAACCCGGCAACAGATAAATTATTAAATTATCTTTATTTTTCCTGTTAATTAAAATAAAACCACAAACGTGCATATAAAATTATAAACTCTGTTCAAGTTTTAAATATATACAATAAACAATTCTTTTTTTATCCGCAAAAGAACGAAAGTGCCACGTTTTGGTTTCGGCTTTTGTATTTTTATTGCTTATTTTGAGATTTCATTAAAAAAAAAATACTGTCAAGTTACATAAAAATACTATATTACTTAACTTTTAAAATAACATTTAATATAAAACAGTTTTTAACAACAATTTGCGGCTTATATTTCAATTGAACAGTAAGTATTCATTTTATTTTAATAAAATAAAAATAAAACTATTATTTTATCAACAATAAGTTGAGACTTCCTCAATAGAGAAGTTAGACGTTGCAATAGACGATAAACGTTTGATTCATGAACCCAAAAACATTTTATGGAACCAAAAAATTCCTAAACAAAACAATTCCACAATTAAAACAAGCTTCAGAAGACCATGGCTGAATGTGCCTTAAGTCAATTTTTCAATTAAATCAAAATTTTCAATTAAATCAAATTGTTATTTTTTTATTAACTAGTTTTAATCGCTGTTTGATAGAATATTAACAGAGAGCGTAAAAGTTTAATTTTGAATTTATAGTTTTAAAAAAATACCTTTAGAAAAAAATGTTTCCCGCCACTATACGCACGAATGGTGCCAATATATTGTCGCGTAATATTAAGTTGTATACTTATGATGCTAATTTTAATCACATATAACTTATTTTCTTAAAATTTACACCGTATAAAAATATTGAAATATGAACCCCTTCTCTAGTGTAAAGATAGCAACCATATTTTTTTTTCAACGCCATGTGGAAAAACGCCATGTTTGTTGTTTGGTATATTTAGTGAAAAGCTAATATATATAATGATAGTATTTTTTACTAATCAATTATAAATAAATAAAAAAATGCTTAATTCGCAATACTACAAGTACTTAACTTCTATTATATAATTACTTGTACGGGATTATATACATAAAACGTTTTGTTGTACGACCAAAGCGAATCAAAATGTCGCATTGGTAAGATTTACAGGTTATTAACAGCCAATATAATGTATATATATTTTTTGTATTGTTTATAAATTTATTTAAAAAAAGTTTTAGATGTCATGTTTATTAAATATTATAGTCTAGAATATTTAATAAACATTAAATTAAAATTATATATAATATACAAATTATATAAATTTTTTGTATTGTTTATAAATTTAATTTATACTATTTAAATATTTTTTATTGTAAGATTTCAATCTAATAAATTTATCATTTTACATAAATTTTTACAAAAAAAGCCGTAAATTGTTTATTCTTTATAATATATTGTCTATATTAATCATTTAATGCTTTATAATATATTATCTATATTATAGATAATATGTATAAAGAATAAACAATTTACGGTATTTTTATGTAAAAGTTTATGCAAAATGATAAATTTATATTAGATATTTAAAAAAATTAAAAATATTTAAATAGTATGCATTAAACTTATAAAAAATACCAAAAAAATATATATATTTTGTAATTTATATATAACTTTTATTAAATCTTATAGACTGTAAGTTATAGTCTATAACATTTAATAAACATTTTTATAGTATAACATTTAATAAACATAACATCTGAAACTTTTTTTAAACAGTTTTTTTCATGAAAAAAAGAAAAAATTATTAATCAGGAAATATTAATTTTTTTAAGTAAAATCCAGAAACATTGCTTTATAAAAACTGTTGCTAGGACAAGTGATTTAATGCTTTTCAACAAAGATTAAAGTTTTGTTCAATGTATTGGTAACCAACAAAATTCAATAACTTTTTTATTTTGTATATAAATTACACTATATACAATTAAGATATATAACAAAAATTAATAACTTTTGCCAGCTACAGTTGAATTTTCAAAAATTGCTTTAATGTATATTGAAGGACATCAAATCATATATCCTAGCAACAGTCTTGAAAAAATAAAATAACATTTCTAGAAAATTTAATAAAATACTTTTAGTGAATGTTCCTGAATTCAATACTTTAATTTTAAAGTTATCAATCAAATTTATATCCAATCCTATTTGAAAAATTATAAACAATCATTTATAAAAAAGTGTCTAACTAAACTTTTTCAAATTTGCCAATATTATCTCAATTTGCATAAATAACTTTAAATATAAGCTTGTTAATTACAAACATATTTCATTATTGTCTAATGTAGGGAAAATATTTTAAAAAAGTGATAAATGTAAGGCTATACAAAAATTTCGATTTTTAATTGTATTTTTAAATTACAATATGTATTTAGACATAAAGATTTGTTTATCTATACTCATTGAATTTTACAAAGGTTATTTGAAAATTATTATATAAAAATAAATTTGCTTATTGTGTGTTTATTGTCTTTTAAAGGTTTACAACACAGTAAACCATGCTATCCTAAAATGGTTTGAATCTTATTTGAAACAAAAATTTCAATTTATAACTATAATTGAAATTATTTTTCAACCAATTCTGTTAATTCAGGAATCCTGTTGAAGATTTATTCTTAGGGCTCTAGATAAAAATTTATGAATTAAACACATGCCTTGATAATGCGCTTACCTAGCATTTTATTTATGATACTAATTTGCTTAAAGGTGTGAGTCTAAGTTAAAAAACCTTCAAAATATCAAGGAGTTTTTTTTATCAAGTCTACTGAAAATAAAAATCAAGATAAGAGTGAGGTATCCTAGTTTATTTTATTAAGGTTTGTGTTTTAATACAATAAAGTAACTAATTTTAAAAAATTTGAGTCCATTTTCAAGTTGTGCTGAGCCCGACTAAATTGATTTTGAGAAAGCAACAAATATTGGTCTATATATAGAATAATGTAAATCTAAGAATATTGATCAATGTTATTTACTTTGATTTTGCCAAAGCATTTGGCAAGGTTCCCCACAAAAAATCATTTATAAATCAGACAAATATGGGAAAGATAATAAATTAATAAAGTGAATTTGTGCTTTCCTGACCAATTTAAAACAATTAGTCATATTAGGAGATTCTACATTAAATTAGATAAAGATAACTAGTGGAGTTGCCCAAGGCTTGATGCTGGGACCTATACTATTTGTTCTATATATTAATGATAGGATGGGCATGTTAATATTACATGTAATACAATTACATGTCAATGCAATTTATTTTGCAAAAAGTTATGGACCTAATAGCATACCTACATTTTTTCTTAAACTTATTTTTCACATAATCTCCCAGCCTCTTTATGATAAATAATTCTTTTAAATGTATGTTTCCTAAAGTTTTCAAAGTAGCTAGAATCATTTCAATTTATAAACAAGCCCTTACTAAGCTTTTTTAACTATTGACCTATTTCCCTATTTTCCAACTTAAGCAAACTTTTTAAAAGTGCTATGCATAACAGGCTATACTAGTTTTTAGAAAAATTTAAATGCCTATACCAACATCAGTACGAATTAATACAACACCTGTAACTAAAATAAAAATTTTGTTCCCAGATCTGGCATTTATATCTTGAATAAGAACCAAATTTGACATGATAAATACTATATACAGTTTACAAGTAGATAAAGTGCTTTAATTGATTAACATACCAACAGATTAATATAAGAGGAATATAATATAAGAAAAATAATATAATATAAAAATATAATTTAAGAAAAAAAAGATTTTTGTCTAACATAATTCTAAGTTCATCAACTGATTTTTAGAGAGTTAATCTCTCTATTGATATAAAAACTTGATTGCTTAATAATTTAAAATCTGTTATTTGCTTTTTTTTTAGTATTAAGTGTTATATAAAGTTATTAAAGTTATACAAAAAAATCTAGGTAATGTATTACATTTATATGTTACTTAGATTTAAAATGTTTTAGGAAATTTACATCTATTGGTGTATGTTATTTTTCATGTTAATATTAAAATGGATACACCAGACCTGCAAAAGTTAGAAGAAGGCATTGTAACAGAAAACTCAGTAGTTGATGACTTAGGTATTTATATTAATTTTAATATTTAATATAATAGCTGTAAAAATTTTTTTTTCTTTAACTACTATTAAACAGATCTTAAATAGTAAGCTTATATTTTTATATTTTCACTTATATTTTTGCTCTAGTTTCAGACAATGTATTAAACCTACAAGATACTTTTATAAGAAACAGCTTTTTAGCGATATCTGAAACAAAGTTGCTTAATAACCAATACTTGCATGATAAGATAGCTATTAATATCAAAAGGAAAAAACCTTCAAAATATCAAGAAGTTTTTGAGTCTACTGAAAATAAAAATCAAGATAAGAATGAGGTATACTAGTTTATTTTATTAAGGTTTGTGTTTTAATAAAATACAATATTTTTATTTGCAACCATAAAAAAATGTATCAGAGATTGATTCAGGGCCAACATTAAATTGATTATCTATTTACATTAGTTACTGTAGCTTAGACAATAACTAATGTAAAACACTAGACATTAATAAAATTCGTATAAATTACTAATATATGTTTAATAAATATATTAGCTCTTAATTTTGTAGTATTTTTTTGTATTTTAGTATTTTGTAGTATCATTTATTATAAATATTTTTTTGTATTTAGTATTTTGTGGTATCATTTATTAGTATAATTACAAATCGTACATCAATAGATATTCTATATTACATACATATTGTGTTTTAATAGGTAATACATACAATTAAGTTTATTATTTTATAGATGCTATTTTTTAAGATGACAAACAAAAAAAATTTTACTCAGAAAAATAATTTAATAAGACTTGATCAATATTGCTTTAGCAATGATTTGAATTTTCTAACACAAAAAACAATTTTAAAAGTATGAAACTCTTTCATAAAAGTTTTAATTAAAAAATTATTTCTTATAATTATTCGTTCTCTAGCTTGGAGCTATTATTTACTTGCAACTTTAAAACTTTTCAAATTGAACTGCACAAATTAAAAGAGTTATTAATTTTTTTTTAAATGAAAATAGAAAGAAATAATATAAAAATAATATTTATAATCAATCATTTTAATAAAAAAGCAAACTTAATTTTAAAAAAGTCAAATGCAACATTCTTATTAACAATTTTTCTAGAAAACATTACCATGCTTGAATAAATATCAGAAAAACCATTGTTGTCAATTTTTTAATATCTTGCAAAACATTACAGTGAATAAATATCAGAATAACATTGTTGTCAATTTTTTAATATCTTGCAAAACATTACAGTAAAGCTAACAAAAATATTTAATAAAATGTAATTATTTATCATAATCATTTTATTTTCCAACCAAATTACATGACTTTAAATTACTTTTGAACACTTCTGTGTTGTCTATATGCCAAAACCATTAAATTAATTGCAAATAAATTGTTTTTTAAAATTACCACCGAGAGGCAAACTTAATTAAATTGATCTTTTTTTTTTGTGTGTGTTTATTTTTATTTTTTAAATGTTTTATGTTTTTTTTATTCTTCTCAATTTTAATTATTTTATTATTTATTTTTTAGTATACATACATCTACTGAAATAGGTAAAACATCCAAGGAGTTTACATACATTGACTGAAATAGTTAGAATATGTGAGTAGTGTACATGCATCAACTGAAATGGGCATAAAATGTGAGGAATTCTGCTACTTCAACTGATATAAGTAGAACATGCAAGTAGTGCCGCTACATTGACTAGTTTACTCCCTGATATATATATATATATATATATATATATATATATATATATATATATATATATATATATATATATATATAAATATATATATATATATATATATATATATATATATATATATATATATATATATATATATATATATATATATATACAGTCATGTGCAGTAAAATAATAGTGCGTATTTTATTTTTCTATCAACAAACTTCGAACATCAAAATATATTTTTCTATTGTTTGTTTTTTATTGTTATTGTTTAAGAAAGGTAATTGCAACACTGTATGCTTTTAAATTTCAATATTATCAATTGAAGGTCATTCGTATTTTTTTTTAGACTGTGCAAGAAAATAGTAGTGAAAATCATTTTTTATGAAAAGGTCAAAAAATAATTAAATTTTATTACAAAAATTTTTTTTTTTTGAAGCTCTACATTAGTATTTTGTTGCATGACCTTTATTTGTAATAACCGCCAAGCGTTTTCATTGCGTGGAATTAATAAGATTCTGGCATCATTCGACAGATATATTTTGCCATGCTGACTGTACTACGTCCCACAATTGATTACAACCTCTTGGATTATTTTCAGAAACTGCTTGTTTAACATCAATTCACAAGTTTTCAATCGGATTGAAGTTGGGGGATTGTGCTGGCCACACCATCACATCGATTTTGTTCTCATTAAACCACGATTTGGCTAACTTGCTCGTATTTTTGGGATCATTAAGGGTATTTCTTCTTCAGCATAAGGCAGCACGACCTCTTCAAGTATTTTTACATATACAAACCGATCCATGATACCTTCTATGCGATGTATCGGCCCAAGATCATAGTAAGAAAAACAACCCCATATAATTATTTTTGAACCTCCATGTTTGACGGTCTTTAATGTAAATTGTGGCTTATATCCTGCACCCGTTGGTCTTCTAACATACTGTTTACGAATATAGGAACCAAAAATTTCAACTTTGCTTTCATCATTCCGCAAAACATTTTGCCATTTTTTCTTTAGGCCAAGAAGCATGCATACGTGCAAGTTTTAAACGATTTTCGATATGTCTTTTACTCAAAAGTGGCACTTTTCTAAATGTTCTTGCATTTAAATCGGCATGTTAATCATCTTCGAATAGTTGAGGTAATAACATTTAATTCTAGCATTTTTTAAATTTTTCTAGAAGTAATAAATGACTCCTTTTTCGCTAACGATACAATTCGACGATCTTCTATAATGGTAGTTGATCTTTTATTTCCACATTTTTTTGGTTTGGGTATCCATTTTAAAGCATTACAAATCATTGTTGGCAAGCATCCAACCAGTTCTTATATTTGTTTGTAGGCTTTACCATGATTTTTAAGATTTATAATTAAATTACGAACTTCTTCAGTATAATGCTTAGAGCACCCCATGTTTCTCTAAATTTTCAAAATTTTAGTGTATAAATTTATCTAATATCAAAATTAATTACTTACTTATTGATTATTATTAAGAACTAATAATTATTAGAATTTAATAAGTACAGCAAATATTACACAAAAATTAATTTTTCACTACTATTTTATTGCACAGTCTAAAAAAAAAAGTACGTATGTCCTTCAATCGATAATATTGAAATTTAAAACCATACTTAAATTTTTTTTATACTATTATAATCACAACATTTAGTTTATGAACAATAACGATAAAAAACAAACAATAGAAAAATATATTTTGATGTTTAAAGTTTGTTGATACTTTACTTTACTGCACATGACTGTATATATATATATATATATATATATATATATATATATATATATATATATATATATATATATATATATATATATATAAATAGATTTCCTACTTAAACTAAAACCCTCATACAATGTAGGAGCACTTCTTGCATGTTCTACCTATTTTTCAGTTGATCTAGCAGCACTCCAGGCATGTGCTAAATATTTATCAGTCAATGTATGTAAACATTAAAAAAATAAAAATAAAAACATTCAGAAAGTTTTTATTTTTATTAAAAAAATAAAAAAACATTATGGTCTATAATGTTGTGTTTTTATGATTTTTTAAAATTAATAAAATTTAATTATTTTCTATAATTAAATTTTATTGATTTTAACTTTATGGTTTTTACATAAAGTTTACTTAAATTTGTAGTGGCATTCCCTTTGTATGTTCTATCTAGATAGTTGGTGTATGTACTGAAGCCCACACAGCTACCTTTTTCAGTATAATAAAACCTCTCAAGATTTGCAACTGCAAAATATTCAAAAGCTTTGATCAGGAGAATGTTGTGATTTTTTTTTAGCATATCTGATATTACAGACTTATTTTGTATGATATAAGGAAGAAAGTTATATAGAAGGCATATAAAAGAAACTAAATTTTAATTTGATTTCAGTGACATTTTTCATGGTGCAGTATTTTGTAATTTATTTGTTAAGTGAGAAACTTTAAAAATATCATGTTATATTATTTTTTCTGTGATATATTTCTATGAATTAATTAAACAATTTTTTATTATATTTTGTAAAAGCATGTTTTATTTTTTTGAAGTAACAAATTGTACAATACTAGATTTTGGAATTGAGCACATCGACGAACTTAGTTCCTCTTGTGTCAACAATTATATCAGAAAACAACAATGATAAAGATGAAAATAAGCCTTTTAATTTATGTACTTTAACAGATACTTTGCAAACTTCTGTTAGAGAAGAGACAGTTGATTTTGAAGATTCAATTGTATGCCAATTTGATGTTTCCAAAGAATCTGCAGGCAATTTATTAAATGAACAAATTAACTTGTTAGACGACAACTTTTCAGCAATTCCAAAAACAATTACACTTAGTAACAAATATTTGCATGACAAGATAGCTTCCAACATCAAAAGAAGGAGGCCTTTACAGGGAATTCAAGGAAAGTTAGCATCTAGTGAAAATGAAAGTCACTATGAGGTAAATTATTTAATTTCAATAAAACAACTTTTTTTTACTGATTAATGAAAAAATAGTATTTACAAAAAAATTGCAAGCCTGCAAAGTTGTTCATCAGCAAGACCCATGTTTTTTTTTCTGTTTTTCTATAATGAAAAGTCTTAACAAATGAGTTGTCAACAAACCAATCTGATAGACTCAAAATATATATAAATATATGTTAATTTACCCATGTTGGAAGCAATTCTATCTGTATATTTAAGATTTAAACAGAAATAATATCAACTTCTCTTTAGTCTATTCTAAAAACTACATTTTTCAAAAATATATAAACAATTCGTGAGAATATTTTAAAATAATGAAATTTCTGAAAACAATTTGAACCCAACTGAAAAATTTATTACATTATTAAGTTAAAATTACTTTATAAATTTATAAAAATACAATAAATTTTTGTTCTTACATTTTGAAGTTATATTTGTAAAATTTATCTTACAAATAAATCTTCCCAATTTGTTTTTTAAGTACTTTGTAAAACACTAGCATACATACATACATACATACATACATACATACATACATACATACATACATACATACATACATACATACATACATACATACATACATACATATATATATTAGGGTGGAGCTTATAAAATAAAAAAAAAATAAAATTTGTATTTTTTATTATTAATTTGTCTTACCCCCCAAATCTGTTCCATATAACATAGAAACACTGCATAAAAAGTTTGGCGAAGAAATAATTGTTTTTAGGGGTAGCTCAAGTGCCTCCAATATTACAAAAATTATACGAGAAACAAGTCTAATCTATATATTTTAAACAACACAATTAACATTTTTAAACACATTACATATGAGTTCTACTCTGCTTTTCGGAATATTTTTCGAAGTTTTGGTGAAAGGCCTGGTACCCATGGTAAAGACACTACAGGAAGATTATTGTATTCTGATGGAACTGTGTTTTTATTTTGTCTTTTTTGATGAAATTGGTGTGTAATATTCCTCAATAGCTTTTCATCGTACCCATTTTAAACAAACATGTCACTTAAAAAATTTATTTCATTTTGCAAATGATGCTTACTACAGATGGAGTAAGCTCTGTGGAGAAAACCTTTAAATATAGCTGTTAAAATATTTGGATCATGATTTAAATGCAGTTTAATTTGAATGTTAGTGATTGCCTCTTTTCGATATACTTTGTACTCATACTTTCCTAGTGTGTTATTTGTAATGGTTATATCAAGAAAGTTAAGTGTTTTTGTCTCGTTTTCAACTTCAATTGTGTATTGTATTGCAGGATGTTGTTGATTTAAAATATCTTGGAACTGTTTTGCTTGTTTGATGTTAGGAAATCTTGCATGAATGTTGTCAACGAATATTAAAAATGGTTTTAGATTAAGTGCAGGATTCATTGTCAAAGCTATTTTAATTGCATTATTTTCATGGAATTGTAGAAAAGACTCAGCGAGAACAACCATGAAAGAAAGTCCGATTGGTTCTGAGTTTTCCATTATGTGAATCTCATTGTTCCAATGAAAATAACATTGATATAAGCAAAGCTCTATGAGTTGTTTTATTTCAGGTATACTTAGTTTTGTTAAGTTTTTATATGGTAAACTGTTATTTAATTGTTCTAAAAGTATAACGGTGGCTTCTTTTAACGGAATTGATGGGTACAGATTTACAACATTATAAGACACTTGAATATCATTGTTAGCGACATGCCAATTTTCTGCTTTTTTTATAAAGTCAAAAGAGTTTTTTAATCGTGTCGGATTTTCATTTAAGACTGGCTGTATTGTTTTAACTAAGAACTTTGATATTCCGTGGTTTGGTGTGAAATAATTATTCTCATAGGGTACGACTACCAATGGTAGAAATAATTATTCTCATAGGGTACGAGTTTTCTGGTTTATGAGCTTTTATTACTTCATACAATCGAGGTAGGATAGGATCACTTGGATATATTTTTTCGTATTCCTCTTTAGAAAAACGCTGTTTTTTATTTAATTTTGAAAGAAATCTTCTAATTTTTGCCGCGTAACTGGCAGTAGGGTCTTCACTAATAATTTTTGTCGGACCAATTTGTTCACAAATTTTTTCCAAAGCTTTAGAATGTTCAATTCTTACAAAACCTGTTCCTTTGTCAAACGGGCATATAGCAATGGTTTTATTGTTTTTGATTTTCTAAAAGATATCCTCTGTTCTTTTGTCAGATTGTTATTTATTTTTTCTCTGTTTTTAATATTCTTAAAACATTTTTCCTTAAATCTTGTGCGTTTTCTACTTTGTTGTTGTATTCTAATTTTAACGCAGAAGACTCAGTTGTTGTTATAATATCCATGTATGGTATTGACTTTAAAGATGGTACAAAATTTGGACCAAGGTTTAGAAAATCATTGTGACTTACTGAAATATCGGTATTGCAAAGGTTTAAAACTGCGTCCTTTTTATATTTTGTTGTTTTTCTCGCAATATCTTTTTCATTTGCATGTCCACTTTGGAGTATGTTAAACTTTTTTATTAATCGTTCTTTTGATTTAATAAACATGCTTTCCCTTGATTTTTCAGTAATTTGTTCAGTAATTTAATATAATCTTCTTCATTAAGTTTACCTTTAAGAAAGTTTTGGAGTTTTTTAACATTATTCATAAGATTAAAGAATCGTTTCTTTGAATGGTTTTTTATGCAAATAAAGAGTTCAAATCTAAAACAATAAATTATACCTATTGCTCTTTTATTTTTTATTGGAGAGTTTATTCGTAACAACTTTGGAATAAATTTATGTTTCTCGCATTTTTGTAAAAAAATGTATTGGTTTTTCGATTTAGCAACAGATTTTTTTAATGATTGTAATTGTTCAGTGCTTTTGTAGATTTCAGCTCCGTATTTAGCTGTAATTAGATGTTTGAAAAATGACATCTTGTATGAGAGTATATTATATATTATTTTAAAACATCAAGAAATACAGTTTCTCTCAATACTAATAATTTTATTTTGTAAGAAATTTTCGCTGGGTTATGGCTACCAGCATCATCAGCTTGTAAAATATTACAATAATTTTTTAATCGTTATAGTTTATATAAAATTGTTACTATTGACGTCAGCCGTTGCATGGCTTCTTTTGATTTTTAAATTTTAAAAATGGTGTCCAAAACATAGTCCATGTCATACAGCACATTAAATCACCAGTTATTACCTTAAAATTAAAATTAAAACAAGAACATTAAAAGTAGAAAATAAAAAGTTTGAAAGAAAAATTAGAGAGGCACTAGAAATACAAAACAACATGTGCTCTGCATGAAACGGCGGAATTAATCTTGATGAAGGCAAATATGTAAAAACTATGTTTTGGACGCCATTTTTAAAATTTAAAAATCAAAAGAAGCCATGCAACCGCTGACGTCAATAGTAACAATTTTATTTAAACTATAACGATTAAAAAATATGTATAACTTATATATAACTTGAAAGCTTTGCAGGACCCTAATATACTGACATCTGTATATAACACAATATTTTTTGTATAATTTTTTTCATTTATTTATGTTCATTTATATTTTGTATCCAATATTGAACTAATGAGACATGCGAATAGTGATTGTGATACCTATATATGTATAAAAAATCATATTGCACTTGTTTTTACAATGCTGATAAATCAATTGTGTCATCTCCTGTTGTTATTTGATATTAATATTTTTACAAGACTTTTCAAGACTTTTGCAAGATAAAAAGTATTAATTTTTTTAAAATTTGAAAGCAGGATAAGTAGTATTTTGTTAATAAATTTGATTTTTGTATCACTATCGCAAACAAATGGAACTAGTTCTAGTTGGTTTTATAAATTTTTATCTATGATGGAGAGACTCATGTTTTAACTTTTTTATGTAATGAATTGGTTTTTCATTTAACACTTTTGAGGAAAGAAAAGTTGATTTCTTAAAACAAAAAACATTGTGAAACTATTTTACATTTCTTCAAAATAATAAAATAATCCTAATAAGCTCTGGAATAGGAGCAAAGAAATTTAAAGTTTAATGTCTTCCTTCTTCTCAAATATCTTCCTTCTTCCCTCCTTCCTCCTTCCTGTTTATTTGGCAGGTCAGAGTAAGTATCAACAATATTTGAATTGATTTTTTTAATTGATTTTTTTAGTGTTTTGGCTTTAACTATTTGTTAAAAACTGATCAGCTTAATGATGACCAACTAATTAAATCATTAAGTACTAGCTGTCATGACCCGTATGATACGGGTTGTGGTAAGTCTAATTCACACCCAACTATTTCTATACTTGTTCCTAATTTAGTCTTTATACTTTAATTTTTGTTTTAGTAAACGGCAAAAAAAAAAAAAAATTAAATTTCTGGTAGTTAGTAAAATGCGAACTTTTTTGCAAACCATTAACTTATTTCTTGTTAAATTATAATTAATTTAAAAGAAAACAATCTAATTTAATTAAAATATATTGTATATCATTATATTTTAATTAAAAAAATTGATGTGCAAATGTTTTAAATATCATAGCTGTTGTGGTTATTAAAATGTCTTTGTTTGCTAAAAAATGTGCAGTTTGCATTTCACTGACTACACTTACTAAAGTTCTTACCTTCTGGTTAATTTTACTATACTTTAGAACTATTTATATATTAGTATTTTTACTTATAACATTATTGTTTACTTTAATATTTTTTACATAATAAAAGTGTCTTTAGCATATAAGACAGTTGAATAACATTTCTTCAGGTGTTTTAGGAATCTTAGGTTATGATAATAATGTTTTAACTCTCTCATAAAGATTTATTCAAAAAGCAAATTTAGACATCGGCCCAAGAGACCTAGTTATTTCAAATAAGTTAGTTTTATCTGTTTGATATTTTTTGTAAAAGTTTTTCTGTAAAAAAATTCTTAACAAATTCATACAATTAAGATGTTTTTACTGCAGAGTTAGGCAAAAAAGTTTTTAAACCTGTTGTTTGTTCAATCGATACTTAATG